GATGGATGAAGGACTGATTGGATTAGGTGGAAGGATGATTAATTGAATGGATGATTGATTGGATGGGATTACTGATTGGATGGGATGACTGATTGGGTAATTGGATGGATGGATGATTAATTGGATTGAATGGATGGATGGAGCGAGGTTTGATTGGATGGATGGATGGATGAAGGACTGATTGGATTGAATGGATGGATGATTGTATGGATGTATGATTGATGGATTGGACGGATGGATGATTGGATGGTTAGATGGAAAATTTGGGAGAAATGCGGATGGATGGATGGATGGATGGATATGGGATCGATGGATATGTAATTGTGATGTAAGATTTTGTCTCTGTTTGTGCGTTTGCATTAACTTTGTATGTAATTCCACATGTTTTTCTGCAAATATCTGTGTAAACAAACACACTTTCCCCCCATAACAGCACTGACAGTTCTGCAGTAGGGATTTAAAAAAATCACATTTTCTTTATGCACATTGTAATGTTTATTAGATAATGTTTGTGGTAATGTTAACATGTTCTTGTAGTGTTTTGCTCTTATTTCTTCTAAATTTCCACGATTTGCTGCAGACTAAAACTGACTACAGTGAACTTTACTTATTCTGTACAAAATAAAAGTCCTTGAGGTCTCTGTCTAAGTGTGTGGTGATGCTGCTGTATTATGACTGATGGTTTCTGGGTCGCGTCCTCATCGGCTCAGCTGTGTGTGTGTCCTGTAGTGAACTGTGCATGTCCTTTGGTGGTGGTGGGGTGGTGGGTGTGTGTGTGTGTGTGTGTGTGTGTGTGTGTGTGTGTGTGTGTGTGTGTGTGTGAGTATCCTATACTGAATGAATGTGTGTGTGTCCTGTGGTGAAGTGTGTGTCCTATGGTGAAGCGAGTGTGTGTCAGTCCGTGTGTGTGTGTGTGTGTGTGTGTGTGTGTGTCAGTATGATGGATGGAGGTCTCCTCAGTGTTTTTCCTGCTCTCAGCAGTTTGTACATCAGGGAACGAGTGTCTCTGACCTGCTGCTCACACACACTCACACACACTGCTGTTTGCCCTCCAAAGGACGTCCACTGTGTGCGATTCTGCCCGTTTATCACATGCTTAAATGTACATAAACAGCAGCAGGGTTTAAAACCAACACCACTGAAAATAAATATTGACCAATTAGCCTGTAATTTTAATTAATTAAAAGCATGCATTGTTTGTTAACCAAACTGTTTGTTTTTAAAGCACTGGTCAGTTTTAAAGAGTATTGAACATTAATACATTTTTCCTTTAGAATGATGTGCAGAGAGCAATGAGTATTCAGATATTAATAAAACAGTAGGAAAGTTTGGTGTATGTGATAAGATTATAGATATTAATAAAAGCTATAGCAGGGTTCAACGCTAAAGATTGACCGGCGGACTGATGCAGCAGCATCGGTAATGTAGTCGATGTACTGGTCTGTTGTGGTAAAGAAGTAGCTGAGCCGAAAGGCAAAGCTCTCGATTTACCGGTCAATCTACGTTTCTCCTCTAACCTATGGTAATGAGCTTTGGGTCTTGACTGAAAGGACAAGATCTTGGATACAAGCGGCTGAAATGAGTTTCCTTCGCAGGGTGGCAGGGCGCACTCTTATGGATAAAGAAATTCTAAAACTTCAGTCAAAGCAGGGTGAATCGGCCTTCAGCTACTAACAGCGCCCCCTGCTGCTGGAATCAGCTACCAGAAATGATCAGATGTGCTCCAATATTAGGCACATTCACATCAAGACTGAACACACATCTGTTTATCTGTGCCTTTACAGAATGAGCACTGTGCTACATCCCACAGATCACACTATTGTGTCTTTCTTTTATTTTTCATTCTTTTAAAACCTGTTCAACACATTTTATATAGTTATTAATGGTTTTTATTATTTTAATCATTTATCATATTATTTAATCATATTTGTTTTCTTCTTTCTTTTATTCCTGTTTATGTAAAGCACTTTGAATTACCATTGTGTGCTATAGAAATAAACTTGCCTTGAGTTAAAATAAAAATCGACTCATTTAAAAAGATGCAATAAAGTAAATGCTGATGCAATACTAATGCTTTTGCCTGTAGTGTCCTGCATTGGTGCTAATAATAATAATAATTTTTAAGCCTCCTCTAAGTGATTTAATTCAGAAAGATTGAAAGTAGAGTCAGTCTAATATAACATGCATGTGCTGTTTTCTGTGTTGCACAGATAATTGTTCTTGAATAATGAACTGGAAGGACATGCAGGTTGTGCATCTGGTAAAGCCTTATACATAATAGGTCTAATTCATAAATAATTATGGTTTAGTCTGAGTAATTAGCACCAACATTTAAATGATTAAAGAATTAAGAAGCTGGTTATGTTCACACAGTGTGTTTAAACCCCTTATAAATGTGATTTCTGCATAATAGCTCCCCTTTAATATCACACATTTATAATCTTCACAGAGGAGCTGCATTGATCGGGTGGTGTTGCACAAAACAGTCGATAACTAGAAAACGCTGCTGAATCAAGCATTACTGAGAGCAACACAATGAAGAAGATCAATACACGTGACAGAACGAGAGGAGAAAACAACTCTATATGATGAATCACAACACAATATTACACCAAAACAAATAGTTGAAGATGTATTAGTGACGTTAACTCAACGATGACAATAAGACGTTCTGCAGAGTTGATGCAGAAGCACTATAAAAGATAAATCTGAGTCTCAGCCATGATTATAGGGCCAATTATTGAGGTGCAAAGCCAGCAGTGATGAACAAACCTCTGAAAAATCATCTTCAAAACCTTCTGTACTGAAGGCTTCTGCTGGTTATTGTTAACAGTGCATACAGTATATGTACACAGCTCTTTAAAGGTTTGTGGTCATAAGATTAACATGAAAACTTATTTATCAAGAATGCACAAAACTTTATTAAATTAAGACATTAATAAAATGACAATTTTTTTTTGATCTTTGCTCATTAGCTAAAATAATAAAAATAATTATCAGTATTGTTATTACACAACAACAACAATAATAAGTATATTAAAAACAGAAATATCAACATAATAATAAGTCATAATAATCAATAAGAATAAGCATAATAAGTAATGATATTAATGATAATATTAATATTAATAATAATAGTAATAATAATAGTAATTATAATAACAACAATATTAAGTATATTAATAAACAAAAATATCATTGTAACAATAAGTAACAATAATAATAAGTAATAATAATATTATTATTAATAATAATAATAATAATAATAATAATATGCATAAGCAATAAGAAGAAGAAATAAAAAGAATAATAATAATAGTAATAAGTAATGATAATAATGATAATAATAATAATAATAATAATAAAAATTATAATAGTAATGATTAGTAATAAAAAGTATTAAGTACATTAATATACAGAAATATCATCATAACAATAATTAATAATAATAATAATAATAATTATAATAATAATAATAATAATAATAATAATAATAATAATAACAAGTAATAATAATAATAAAGTTATAATTAAAAAAATAATAATAATAATAAGCAATATTAATAATGAAAATAATAATAATGATAATAATAATAAGCAATAATAATAATACTGATAATAATAATAATAATAATAAGTAATAATACTGATGATAATAATAATAATAATAAGTAAAAACAACAAGTAATAATAATAATAATATTATTATTAATATTAAACTTATTATATATAATAATAATAATAATATATATATAATATATTAATAATATATTATATATTATATATAATAATAATAATAATAATAATAAGTAAAAACAATAATATAATAATATCATAATAATAATAATATTATTAATATTAAACTTTTCTTGACCACAAAATAATAATAATAATAATAATAATAATAATAATAAATGTTTCTTTATTACCAAATCAATAAATTAGAATTTACATCATAGGAATTAATTTAAATTTTCTACACATTCAGGTGAAATATGTTTTAATTTGTAATAAATGTGTATTTCTGTCCAAACACTGTAGTTTTGACCAAATAAATCCATCATTTCTGTCCAATGATAAACATAAGACGTTCATAATTTGCAGCGTATACTTTTAATTTGCTAAGAACAATTTTAGATTTATCTTTTATCTCTTTTTCTAGGAGAAAAGAAGTTGAAAAAGCTGTACAACATACAGCAGAAATAATCAAAAATGACTGAGATTTGCTGATGATGTTTATGTCGCTATGTCCCTCATACAGTGGCATTGGTAGTATGTGATGAATGGAATTTTTTCTGACTCGAGTGTTTGTGTAAAATGTCATCTTGAGCAGATACTAATGAATATTATGCCGAGTTTAGACTGCATGACTTTAGCCCTGATATTGACTTAGCGACAGGTTTTGACGTGCCGACAAATGCCTGAAATCTCAGGCAAATCGGTGCTCATTCATACGAGAAACAATCACACAGTGTGATATCAAAGATGCGAACTGAGAATATCATCGTGAGTTCTGATGGAAAAAAGCATCGTTTAAGCAAAAACACAACCAGGTAAAAAAAGAAACGTTTGAAGAAATTGCTAATTCCCTTCAAAAGCCCGGTAAGCAAAATAAGTGCATTTTAACCCCACTAAAGGCTTCTTTCTCATTATGTAGTTTACAACAAAATATATGCTATGTGACCACACGTTGTTTCCATGTCACTTCTTGCAGTTTTCAGACCGAGATGACGCTGTCTGCAATTGTTCCTATTGTAAAGTCATGCAGTGTGAAACTCCCTGTTCCAATCCATCCTGCATTGTGAACACAGCAGAGATGGAACGCTAGCCCAGATAGTCATGCAGTGTAAAAACATCTGTGACGCTACTACTTTAAAAATCTTGAACTCGGCATTAATAATGTTAATTATTCTATGTTAAGCTGCTTTGACACAATCTACATTGTAATCGCGCTATAGAAATAAAGATGATTGAATTAATAAAAGCAGAGCAGCACTCACCATACTTCTTGCGGATTTCGTCATGCTTGGTTTTCCTCTCCACTCTCCTGCAAAATACACACACATCACATTCATTATGCAGATTCCTGACACAACACACTGAAATTCTGTGAAACAAGCAATTAAAACAAAAAATTAATTTAAATACATTTTTTTTTAAAAGTTGAACTTTTGATTTATTTTTGCTTTAAGGATCAGTTGCAGTTAATGGTCAAATGAATACATATGTTAATTAAATGTTAATTTTAATGTTTATTCTTGATAATCACCTTTGATGTTTTGCCAAATTATCTTTTTTAATTAGTTGGTATTAATGCCAATTTAGTTTTAGAGAAATACTACGGTAATACTTGTTTAGTTTATTTAGTTTTTTTAATTTAGTACTAATACTAATATATTAATAGTAGCAGCATACTAACAGCATAGAAGTAAAATAAAACATGTTAATTTTCGTGAAGAAATTCTTCTAACAAAAAAGGTTGCATTTTTTGGTTTCCTTTGCTACAATAACCAAACATTTAATAGTCATTAAGAATAAAACAAAACCATATTAAAAGTAAACAATAGTACTGTCCATATATGTGCCTGATTGGTTTTAATGTGTTGGATTTCAAAATAAAAGTTGTGAGGTAAAACTTGTGATCTGCAGTATTAATAATAATTATAATAATAATAATAATTATTATTATTATTATTATTATTATTATTATTAATATTATATAAAGCAAATTTAAAACTTAATTCTCAATTAAAGTCAGCTTTATTAGCCCTCCTTTGATTTTTTTTCTTTTTAAAATATTTTTAAAAAGGAAATTTTCACAGAATGTCTCTGAAAAAAAAAGTCTTGTTTTATTTCGGCTAGAATAAAAGCAGTTTTTAATAATAATAAAAAAAACATTTTAAGGTCAATATTATTAGCCCCTCTAAGCCATTTTATTTTTCAATAGTCTACGTGGTGCGCACCAGGCGAAAGTATAAATCCAGTTTGAAACAGAAATTGGGGGGAAAAAACAGGAGACTAAAATTCAGAGGGTAATAATTCTGACTTCAACTATGTATTATAAAAACACTACAGCATGATTTTTAAATGTTTTAAAATGAGCTTCTCTTGCTCACCAAGGTAGCATTTATTTGATCACAAATACAAAACATATTGTAAAAACACTGTTTAAAAGCAGTTCATAATTTAATTTAATAATTTATTCCAGTGATTTTAAAGATGAATTTTCAGCTTTATTACTCCAGTCTTCGGTCACAGGATCTTTCAGAAATCACTCTATTATTATTATTATTATTATTAATAATTATTATTATCAATATTATAATTTATTATTATTATTAATATTGTTATTATTATTATTATTATTATTATTGTTGTTGTTATTAATATTATTACTATTATTATTATTATTACTATTATTATTATTATTATTATTATCGTTATTATTATTATTATTATTATTATTATTATTATTATTTTTATCAATATTATTATTTTCATTATTATTATAATTATCATTATTATTATTATTATTATTATTTTTGTTATCATTATTATTATCATCTTTATTAATATTATTATTAATATTATTATTGTTATCACTATTATTGTTATCATTAATATTTATATTATTATTATTATCATAAATATTATTATTATCATAAGTATTATTATTGTTATTAATGGTAAATGTAATAACAGCAATAATGACTGGAGTGGTAATTTTATTTAAAATGAAATTATTACAGTAAGTAATAAATAAATAAAATTAAATGTATTTAATTTATTATAAATTTAATTAATAAATAAATAAGTATTGAACAATTGCCTTGAGGAACAGAAAAAAATATTTAAAGTATTAAATAAAATTAATAATAATAATTTTAAAAAAAACAGACCCCAAACTTTTGGCCGGTACTGTATATATATATAAGTGTATTGAGTTATTTTAAGTTTATATATGCATTACTATTATTATAGAATTTATATATTATTTTGCATTTTTATCATTCAATTTTTATTTAGTAAAAATATGTAAACACTGGTCTGTTTGACATTGTAAAAAAACATCATAAGTAGTTCGTTTTATTAAACAGGAACAAATCTGATTAATATTTCTCAAGCCCGACACATGCAGCAGATCTGTGTGTTTGAGTTCACGTCTTTGTTTAAGGCAGTGGGTCGGTCAGTCAGTCATTCCTCCACACACAGGCTGGAGATCAGTGTGTGTGTCGTAAACATCAGTGTTTTATGAGACGCTGAACGACACTGAACATCATTTATTCTCTGCATCCTCACACAGACACAAACGCTTCATAAGAGCACAACAATGGAGAATAAAGCAGTCTATAGGAGCTGATCTGAGAACAGCCACTGGAGTCGTTCGCCATCTGTTGAGCTTCTGAACAACAGCAGCACAACAATGAGCTCAGATTTATGTGCGTGTGAGAGAGTGTGAGTGTATGCGTCCGTGTCTGTGTGAGAGGGTGTGAAAGAGAGAGTTTGAGTTTGTAAGTGTGTGTATGTGTGTTTGCAAGAGTGTATCCGTGTGTGAGGGTGAGTGTGTGCAAGAAAGAATTTGTGTTTGTGAGTGTGTATCTGTGTTTGTGTATCTCTGCAAGTGTGTATGTGTGTATCTGTGTCTATGTGAGGGTGTAGCTGTGTGTGTTTGTGTGCATCAGTGTAAATGTGTGTATCTTTGTGTGGGTTTGTGAGTGTCTCTCCCTGTGTGAGGGCATGTGTGTGCATCTGTTAATGTTTTGTGTATTCATTTGGGTGTGTGTGTAAGGATATATGCAAATGTGTGATGTGTGTGTGTGTGTGTGTCAGAGAGAGAGAGAGAGAGAGAGAGAAAGAGAGAGAGAGAGAGAGAGAGAGAGAGAGAGAGAGAGAGGGAAAGAGAAAGCATGTATGCATGTGTGTGTGTGTGTGTGTGTGTGTGTGTGTGTGTGTGTGTGTGTGTGTGTGTGTGTGTGTGTGTGTGTGTGTGCGCGTGTGTTAGTACATGTGTGTGTACATGCATGTTTGTGGGCATTTGTGTTTATTTGGGTATGTGTGTGTGTCTCAGAGCATATGTGTGTGTGTGTGTGTGTGTGTGTGTGTGTGTGTGTGTGTGTGTGTGTGTTTCTCTGCAGTAAATGTGTGTATTATTATTATTNNTTTAGTGTGTATTTCTCTGCAGTATATGTGTGTGTTATTATTATTGTTGATGATGATCTGTGTGTGTGTGTGTGTGTGTGTGTGTGTGTGTGTGTGTGTGT